GGCTATGTGATCACGCCAGGGACACAAGACCTGAAGCCGACTACCCACGTAAAGGAAATACAGTGTTGTCATGGTAAACAATTCAACAGTAGTATATCAGTTTACCAAATAAACCTTTATTGTCAGTAAGTTCATTAATATGTACTATTACTAGACTGATACAGTATGCGTAGCCCTTCTGATTACAAACCAGGAAGACGTTTGGAATCATGCAATGACAACTTCCGGGAGGTTCTGTTCGCGATAGTAAGTCTGACAAAATTTAAGAAAAATGAGAAAATCTACATGTCGTCGTAGCGTTCCTTTATGTTCGTTTAATCAACCATTACGACAATACCTCCTGTTTTCATCATTTCCCACTGACACGCAACTAACCAAGCACACTGGGTACATGTGATTAAAAGAGAGGAGGCGCCAAATTCAAGATTAATCCAAACACACGCACATATATATGACGTCTTCATTTTACCACTGATCACATTTACTTCAATGGGTTTTATCACAGTCGGTCGTCGAGCCCAGTGTCGGTAACTACTCCAGACTATTCTACACATTATCAATTTGGAACAGTTCTCACTAAAAGTGACCAGAACCTATGATCAGAGCGGTCAAACAAATGGTTGGAATGCCACAACAGCAGAACAAGCCGGAAAATCACACATTTGTTGCGTCCAGTTTGGAAAAAGCACAGACATCTTCCCTGTCCACAAATGCACAAAGATCTTACCTTCTGTATGTTTTTCACAAATATACTATAGTCTGTTCTTCTACTGAAATAGGCTGAAGTACATTTGTTGACGTCTCTATTTGTTTTGGTTTGTTCGGCTCCAGCTTCCCCCCAAACCACAGTGCCGCCCTGTGATTGGTCGACGTATCACATGTAAACACTTCAGCTGTAGCCAAACAAGATGTATCCTCGAGAGTTTGTGACCTCTTAAGACTAAAAATCGAGACAATTCATGTTGCTGGTGAGGCTAAAGAATCTGTAGAATACTCGATTTACTCAGAACAATTGGCACTAAAAGAATTCAGCCAGACATTCAGTAGCAATGCTGATACCAGTCTGAAAATCTTCCGTGTCTTTGATAAAATTCCGAGGGCCCTTGAACTTTTTTCTTAATTCATTTCTGTTTGTCCAGCTTCTGATAAAAAGGAACTCTCTTTCTCGAAATATGTAACCCACTTATTTTCTGTAATATCAACCATTCTGAGAAGAATCTAGACTAGATTGTACTCCAAACCCCCCCCCCCCAAAATAACCCCAAAATTAATGAATGTATCAGACTTAGACTTATGGTACTTAGACAAAATTTATATTATTATTACTTTTTAATTATGTGCACTAGGGATGGGCATGATTAATCGATTAATCGATAATTGATCATTAAGAATTTCATCGATTATGTTAATTTTAATCGACAAACCGAATGTAGGTTGCTGTGCGTAGCGTGAACAAACAGGTCTGTACATGTGTCTCTGCATTCAGAAGGAGCGAGCAAACACAAACAGTCGGTCAGTCTGCAACGTACCGAAGCACAAATGCGTATTTAACGATGATTTGTACAAGAAATTCCACGCTTTCCATTGCGTTCGGGACAAGTGTGAGTCCACGTGCACAGTGTACAAAGCAGCACATATGTTTCAGTGTTCAGTGGGAAAAAGCTTTACCAGGTGAGAGTCGCGCAATGTCAATGAGGAGTCCCCACCTCCCTCCCCCCGTACGGTGTCCTGGTTTTGACAAAAGCAAATCTGGTCACACTAACCTGTATTCCACTGAGTCATGTCTTTTAATCTGACAGAAATTGACCACATCAGCGACACAAGAGCTGTAGTTTTATCTTCGCTGAGTTTATGCAAATTAGCGATGCGGTTTTAAGTTTTGTTTCTGTGAGAGTTGCGCAAAACTGAATTAAACACATTATAATGTCAAACGGATTGATGTGGCTCTAGAGTCGTTACGGTTTATATGTCGTAAAGTTGAATTTATTTATGCAGATTAGTAGTGCAGATAGTAATAATAATGATGATCATTTTAATATAAAAACGTTAATGATTAATCGATAATCGATCGTTAATTCTTCCGACGATCGATTAAGAAAATTTCATCGAATGCCCATCTCTAATGTGCACACAGTAGCTCACACGTCACCATATATTATAATAACAAAGAGAAAATATATATGTATATATATATATTAATGTAATTAATTAATAAGTAGCAACAATATCAAGAGACTGGCATCAAATAAGGTATAATTATAAAACTGTATACAGCATGTACAAGTAAAAATAAAATACAAGAGAAATAAGTAATAAAAATATCTCAGCAATATAAGAGGTCATAAGGACAAAGTGCAAAGATGATACTGATGAATGAAAAGAACTTTTATATAAACTTCACCTGAACTTTTTAGATCAGATTCTTACATAGACGAGAGTAGAGACTAGAGATATAACATAGATCAGATCATAACATAACGAAGAGATAGACTTATACAGAATATTGGATAACACTGAGGTCAGAGTCTAAGAATATCTGAGAAAGTTATGAAATGAATGAATCATTAGGATGCTCAGAATGCATAAGGTAAGTGAGGAATAACTTTGGAGCACTGCAAACAGTTTTAGAATGAACTAGTTCTGTTTTTCATATTTTTAAAAAAAGTGAAAATCAAGGATGGCACTTTCAAACTAAATAGTGCATTTTTATATTGCACTTTTCCACCTTCAAGGGACTCAAGGCTCTTAACATGAAGGAACCACTCACCCATTCACACTCACATATTCATACATCTGTGTACTCAAACACTGGGGATGAGGTGGGTAAAGTGTCTTGTCCAAGGACACAACATCAGCATTCATCTGTGGGAGTTGGAATCGCACCAGCATCCTGTGGGCCAGTAGATCTGACCACTCCACCAATGACCAATTTTTTTTTTTAAATGTCGAGAATGTCACTGTCAATCAACATCTCGTGTGATTGACAGGTGGATCGGTGCAGCGTCTGCAGTGATGAGGTTGCTGTTTCAGACCGTTGTGGTGAAGAGGGGGTTGAGCTGAAAGGCAAAACTCTCGATTTACTGGTCAGTCTACGTTCCTCCCCTCACCTATGGTCATGAGCTTTGGATAATGCCCGAAAGGACGAGATCGCGGATACAAACAGTTGAAATGAGTTTCCTCCGCAGGGTGGCTGGGCACTTCCTTAAAGATAGGGTGAGGAGCTCAGTCACACGGGAGGAGCTCCGAATAGCGAGGTACTGCGCCTTCACGTCGAGAGGAGCCAGCTGAGGTGGCTTGGGCATCTGTTCTGAATGCCTCCTGGACACATCCTTCGAGTTGTGTTCCAGACATGTCCCACCAGGAGGAGAAAGGGGAAGACCTGGACAAGACCCAGGACACGCTGGAGCAGGGTTGGGCAAACTTTTCGGCTCGCGGGCCACATAGGGTCCTAAAGTTTGACTGAAGGGCCGGACAGAAGACAGGACATGACTGTTAAGAGCTTGGCTTCATTACATTCATATTGACGTTTATGTAGGACTCCAGCGTCACACTACACGCTTCAAAACTACATAAAATGTAAAGACCTGTTCCACTGCACACCACACGTGAACAAACAGCTTAATGTTTCAGATCCAACTAAAAATGCTCAAATTCAAAGCTGCCTCACACACATACAACCACAAGAGCAGTAAAACTGACTCTATGAAGTTGTATTTACTAAACATTACAACTTGAGTTTAAAGTTTTCAGTGTTTGATTTTTACCAATTTAAAATGGAAGCATTGAGCCTTATATCTTAAACACTTCTACTTCACTCATGGTCCGAATAACTCCTGTAAGAACACTTTCCCATAAAGCAGCAGCCAACATAATACGGCACCTCAATGTATATAAGTGGAACTGGGAAACCTGGACAAGACCCAGGACACGCTGGAGGGACTATGTCTCTTGGCTGGCCTGGGAACGCCTTGGGGTCCCCCTGGAGGAGCTGGAGGAAGTATCCAGGGTGGAGGAAATCTGGGAGTCTCTGCTTAGACTGCTGCCCCTGTGACCCGGCTCCAGATAAGCGGAAGAAAACAGATGGAGAGCAGGATTTAAACCACCAACATTCAGCTCAGTGGAAAAGCACTTTTGTTCTCTCTTTTTGATTCTGTTTCATTGTGCGCCTGTGTTATATTACATTTACAAGTGAAAAGGATTATGTATCAAACTGTGTAAGTAAAGGATCTAAGAAAGGGTGGTACCATATGACCATCTTTAAAAAAAGAAAAGAAAGTGCGCAATTTCAGAACCCAGAAGGAAACTCAAAAGGAAAATTGGGCCACAAACCAGCCTTTTATACTTTTGTTCATCCCATTGACACGAACCCCAGACAAGAGTATCCACTTTCCTTCACAAATACCTCAATCATCAGCTCTCACATACTTCACAATGAACGGACCACACCTTACACGAGAAAAAACAAAACACACCAACAGGTCCCACATACTCCCCGCAGACGCTACCGAGGCGAGTCTGGGGACAGGAGGTCGGCGTGTGATTGGAGGAGCCCCGTCGCTATGACAACTAAGGGAAAGCTTACACCACCGAGGCCTGTATTGTACAACAGAAACAAGCTCGCACAGTAATCCTACTTAATGTTATTTTTCTTTACTGAAAACCAGCTATAAAAGACTATAAGACATGATAATACTTCAAATGATGTTAAGGGAAGTTGCAGTGATGTTTATATAGTAAGTAGCAGTTGTTTAACATACTGTTCCAAAAAAAATAAAAAAAAAAAATCTAAATATACTGTAATGTTTTTAGATAATACCACAATATTTTCCAAAACAATTCAAAAATAAAAAAATTAAAATGTACTGTAATATTTATGTGATAAGAAGCTGTTCTACTTCCAATCCAAGCAATCACCTGTTTACCTAAATAACAAACAACTTTTTTTTTGAGTATTGTTATATATTTTTCTATAAAATTTTGATAAAATTTTGATTTCTTACCTGCACATAGAATTGTTATGTATATCAAGAACATCGCAGGCTGAGGTGAAACTTTGAGTACGAAGGATCTTTCAGGTTCTTGTCTAAACTTTTTCTAAATTTTTTTAAACTAAAAATTCTTGGGTATAAAAAAACAAAACTAAAAACTAAATTTATACTAGCTACAGTGTTTAAAAAGTGACTGAAACTAGATAAACGTGGGTGAGTTTCAGTCCTGGGCACATGCAGACAGCAGAGTGGTGCAACTGACTCTTCTCTCACTCAAGCCGCCTCCCCCTCATTAGCATAATCCGTCTGATTGGTCCAGCCTCACCTGTTTTACCTGTTTGCACCAGTTTTCTTTGGCATGGATAATATTTATACAGAGCATTGAAGCACTTTACAAGGAAGTCACATGTTCTCTAAATAAACTCTACACCTCATCATGATTGGAACACTTGTGACATCATGTTATCATACTTTTTATCTGTGTTTTTGTTTGTTTGTTTCAGAATCAGTTTTTATTTTATTAAAGATGCAAACATACATGAAAAAAAAAAATCTGAAAATATTTAATGCATTTTTTTATTTTTATTTTTTTTACATAATCCCACTTTTATTAAAAATGAAAACATACAAAAACAATCTGAAAAAAATGTTCGGCAATGGTATTCGATTTTTTTTGTTGTTGATGTTACAGAATCAGTTTTCAGATATTTTATTAAAGATGAATACATACATGAAAAAAAATTAAAATATGTTCAGCAATTGTATTGTATTGTATTTTTTTTTTATTCATTTATTTATTTTTTGTTACAGAATTAGTTTTCAAATATTTTATTAAAAACTAAAACATACAAGGAAAAAAAAAATCTAAAAATGTTAGGAAATTGTATTTATTTATTTTGATTTTATTATTATTATTTTTTCCACAGAATCCATTTTGATTAAAGATTACTTTCTTTGTTACAGAATCATTTTTCAAATATTTTATTAAAGATGAAAACGCACTCAAAAATTTTTTTAAATTAGAAGATACATTAGACAGTTATATTTGTACTATTTTGTATTGTGTATTATTTTATTTTACATTATTTATTTATTTTTCTGTCTATTATGTCCAAACAATCAAGTAAGACATTTAAACCTGGCAAAATTTTCAAATTTTTTACATATAATTTATATATGAAAACATTTTTAAAGGTGCATTATGTAACTTTTCTGGTGAAACATCCGCCAAACTTTCTCCATGTTATTGCTTTGTCTGGATTGTTTTACAGTATGGTAGTAAAAATTTCTATCTTCATGGAGACCAAACCAGACCAAGTTACAGGTCAGATCTGTGGAGAGGTGACCCCGCTCACAGCCAGAATGCCTGTTTTTCTAAGTATGTTTGAGCTATGAAACCACCTGTATTTGAGTAAATGTAAGGTAGAGCTGTTTAATGCCATACAGTGAAACATTCCAGACAAAGCAATAACATCCCCATGGAGAAAAGTTTGGCGGACACATAACTAGAAAAGTTACATAATGCACCTTTAAAAAATACAGTTTTTCACATTCTTTATCATGCAGTGTTTTCATACATTATAGATGATCTTACAAAATGAATATTCTCTGTGCAAAACATTTCCTGTACCTGAACATGTTCTCTTCTCTTTTTATTTGTTCTATAATTTAGATGTGAAAATGAAATGGCCTCATATTTACATAGCAGATGCTGTAATGTAAATATCCTCGGGGGTTTTTGTGCTTTTCACCTGACTGCTCTGCGACCTGATTGGCCAAAGGCAGCAGGCTGTGATTGGCTAGTGACAGATAAGAACATTTACATTGACTTAAGTACGTTCATTTCTCAGTAGTTTCCAGAAATCATTGTCTTACTGCTACAGGGATACTATATTTGACAATGTAATAACACTTAGCTGAGTAAAATGTTTGGCTTTTACTCTTGTCACTTGTCACTGTACAAAAGACAGAAGTTTTATGTTGAAAAAATGTTTCTCTCAATTTCTTGCACTGCTCCTTCAGAAATGATTTAACTTTTCACATTTTGTCAACTATAATTTAAACTTTTGTTTCCTCATCACAAACAGACCTGGAGTTGTGTTTTGTTCCTTTCATGCATGTTTAACACACAAACTCTGCACGATTAGGCTGAGTTCTTCTCTCAAACAGAAAACACTCTGTTCCATGACAATAAAAATAATAAAAGGTTACTCAAACATGTGTGAATGAAACAAAACACAACTCCAGGTTTGTTTTAGGGGAGGTAACATTTAGACTTAGACTTAGACAAACTTTACTGATCCACAAGGGAAATAATTTGGACACAGTAGCTCACGCATCACAATATAACATAATAACAAAGAGCAAAAACATAAATGGTAGAATAAATTCTAAATAAGTAACAAAAAAAGATAGAAAGAGACAGGTGTCAAATAAGAAAAACATTCTAACATGGCTTAAAGTTCACAAGAGTCCCTTAAATAGAAATTTGAGTACAACATTAACTCTCTGTTGAATCACTTCCAGGACCAGCGCATTGTACTTCTAACCAGGCTGGCGCCACCTAGTGCCTCTGCTCAATTTAATTTCTTTCCAGTGACTAGGTCAGGAATCGGAATACACTAGATAGTTTGCAAGAACCCCAGAAGTTGTAGATCGCGCACCGGCGAACCAGTGAAGAGCTGTAAAGCCATGACGTTAAACTCAAGTGTCTGTCTGGGTCTCTTTTGTGGTACAGCACGACAATAAACAAAGTGGTCGAGATGGATGTAGACGAAGACAGACATTCTGTGTTGCAACAATTCCTGAGATCGAGGATTTAAAGCCGGAACACAGAGAATGTTTGGTGAATTTTTATCAAGGGGTAAGACGTTATTGCCCTTCTTCCTATGGGATTTACATACATTACGACCAAACAGCAGTGATTGGTTAAATAAAAAAATATACCCGCTTACCATCAAGCGAACGAATCCTAATGCTGCGAGGACAGATGGTTTCCACAAAGTGAAAACCGTCTGATGAATCAGGCTATTGTACTTCTACTTGTGTAATGTTATTATGTACGTAACCAATGTTGGGAAATAACTAAATAAAAGTACCAAAAAATACGTTAGATAAAGCAAGAGAGGTAGAGCGCTTCACTGGGTCTTAAAAGAGTAAAAAAATAACAGTACAAGTGCTCTACGAGGGTTAAGACAGCGATCTTAGAACAGAAAATTACAATTACAGGAAAATGTAAAAATGGGTAAGGTACAAACCCGAGGCACTCCAACTGAATACAGTATATTAAAAGTCCTTTATTACATGAAGGAACGCCAACGCGTTTCGACCAGCAAGATGGTCTTCGTCAAAAATACGTATTCTGAATAGTCATTTTGAGTACCTGTATTCCAGTACAAGTATAGATGGGTCCGGTCAAGCAGTAACGGAGAGAAACAGGGGCAGATTTTTTACATTCAAATAGCTCTTATTCAGAAACTAGAGGGACTATTGAAATAAGTAAAGTATCAGAATGTAGGAAAGAGTTACACTCCAACAGGGTCAAGTTAAACCTGTGATATTCTTTCAAGTTGTTGACAAAAAATTTAAAAACTCATGTCAGTAACGGAGGGAATGAAATATGCAGCACTTTTTTGGGCAATAAATCCAAACAGTGATAACTAGCTTGGTTCTCACTTACATATCCTTAACAAACTGGTTTGAATATTTGCTTCATATAGTTGGTACAAGATTAGGTTGAAAAACCTCTTACTTTTTGAGTAATGAGATTTTTTATTAAGAAAGGTCATGGTAACAGAGGGAAAAGTAACGGAGGGAAAATTGTGCAAGTAAGTATTTTGCATAATTTGTCAGCTTTTTTCTTCCAAATACTTTAATATTACTTCAAAATGAAAGGAAACTATTTCTATTAAAATTTTTCAGTCCTTCCAAGAAATTTTTTATCATTTTAAATACTAAACTTTTTTTTTTTTTTTTTAAAATCATGTACCTTCATCAAAAGATCAAATAACACAAGATATGATGAAATACATCCATTTATTTACATGATTTGCAGGTCTCTGAAATTCGGGAAATAATTTAGTTCATACATGGTCTGTTTAAAACGTATGTAACTTCAGAACCAAAAATGGTACAGAAAAAAGGTAAACAGTTTCATAAACTAGAGTACATATGTATCTGTTGAATACATTTTTATATCAGACGCATTAACTTGAATTTTTGGCCTTGCTGTTTACTTCTGCTTGACCGGGCCTAGAGGTAAAAGTGTGTTTTAGGAAATAACAAACACACTCTTTTACTCCTTACATGAAGCGTGTTTGTCCTTCAGCTAAAATAAAAACATGTAATCATCACCTTCATTCAAACCCCTGAGTCACCCATATGCCCTGGCACCAGCCTTTTTAAGTTCAGGGTGACGGTGCTCAGTCCAGTGACCAGGGCTCGGTCACAGCGGGGCACATACCTTTCCAGCAGGTGACATCTCCAGGAACAACAATCACTCTGAAGCTTTCATCACAGGCCTAACCTCACCACAGCACAATGGTACAAATCAAAGTACAGCATCTGAACTTTTAGTCTTTTTCATGTTATAACATTGTTTCCTCCTGAAAAATGTCCCTGAAGAGGTTTATTTATGGACAAAATAGTGAAATAAAAACATCAGGGTTGTGTCTGAATGTTCACACTATTCCCTAAGTAGCAATCATGCCATTTTTAGGGGTGTCTCAATGACCAGTGAGTGAAAGAGTAGTGCACTCAAAATCTCCCACAATGCACCCTGAAAAGTATTGGGCATTGGGAGAGTCGAAAAAAAACCCCCCAGTGGACAGAGATAGGTGTTTAACTGGACACATCACTTGAATGAAGCAGACAGACGGGCTGGTTTATGGCACTGTTGATCCTGATTCAGAATAAAACACTCAGCTGTTAAAAGAGCCATTATATCCTTGTCTCAGATAAAAATAAAATCATCCAGTCCATTTATGTGAAATCCAGCATGACGAAAACCTGTATGGTTATTATTAGTCCATAAATGCTTGTGTCAGTCTGATGTGGTTATTATTTATGACAGAAATCAAGTTTTATCGAAGTTTAGCAGATGTTTTTTCACCCAGACGGCAGAGTCACATGACCCGACTGAAGTGAGCTGTGTGTCCGAATCTCTCTGTGAATGAGAGCACTAATGGTGAGCTAAAGAGTGCAGGACGACGTAGTGAATGAGG